CACTTTTTAGAAGAAGACCAGTCACAGCTGCTGGCTGGATGTATGCACTATGATGGGGAAGGGATCCCCTTAAATGCTGTAATATAGTCATCTGCTTATTGGATGTGCTTTGCCTTATTCTATGTCACAGCCATTGATTCCAGGTCCTACCCCACCACCAGCCACCATATCTCTGCCCTGCCTAACTAGGCATAATGCCCAATGCCTTTTGTGTTTCACTAGCTTGCATGGTCTCTCCCAGCTGATGTATACAAAACGGAAGCAAAAGTGAACCTGTTGCCCATAGCAACCAAACAGGATTATTTGCTGTTACAATAAAATAATCTGATTGGTAATTGCAAGAAATTGCTTCCATCTTGCACATATCGATCCAAATTGCTTATTCCGGAGGTCCCTACACAGGTAACTCATTGTTTTTGTTTCATCTTCACAGCTTAAAAAGCACTTTCCATATCTGTTACTAGTATTCCCAGGTCCAGATAAAAATCTGAACTGTCTGTGTTACCCATTGCAATCAATCTGCTTCCAGCTATGCAATTTCTGCAGTTTAGTATGAGCTAAAAGGGAGGTTTATCTGGTTGTTGTGTGCCGCTATTTTGAGCATGTTCCTAAAGGATGCCCATTGATTCTGAAGTCTTGCATTGGTCAGTCCCCAAATATGCTATTATCCAGAAACTGTTTCCTCTTTTTCCATGTTCTTAATCTAATATATCATACAAATGTTCTTCTTTTATTCCATCCTCTTGGGTGGCCTTTTATACTGATGTCCATGTATGACTAAGTGGCGTGTCTGGCCCTTTATATAATGAGGGGAGGGGGAGGCAATATTTTCATATTGTGTATATATTGTGTTTGTTCAACTACCCAATAGAAGTGCAGAGAGATTAAAAACAAAATGCCAATTTCTCTGTTACTTGACAGGATATTCCAAGTCTAAGGATGACAAAACTCCATGCTGTATTCCAATGCTGCATTAAACATTGTTGCACTAAATGAGGATGGTTACTTTTTTGTTATTTCTGCATAATTCATAAAATAAACTTGGCTTTTATTCCTAAATTGTACCTTCATGCTTTTTTTAACCATTAGTATTACTTTTTCCCCAGATGAGGAAGTAAGGGCTGTTTCACTATGATGAGCCCAGCTTTTGTTCACTTACAACAACCAAATTACCTTCAGAGGAATGGTAAACACATGATTGTACATGGGGCTAGGCCACATTAAAATATTTGCTTTAAAACATAATGAAGGGTTGTAAACTTTGTTTTTAATGCATTTTGATGTGTCACACCAGAAGCTGTGTGACTTGAATGGGCACCATGTGTGGACACATATATGTGAATGATGCCATTAGACAAAATGGTATACAGTCTTCACAAGCGTTTTTAAATATTGAACACAGCATACATTAGCTGTGTGTGAAGAAAGCTTCACAGTGTATGTAAACCCAACAATCAGCTTATCTTATGTTCTCCCTTTTGCTTTGTTATTGTGTTTTGTTATGTCTTTTCACTATGTACAAAATTACCTGTTGATTCTGCCAGAAATCCAGTGAGCTTCTTACTTCCTATAGTGAGCTGACAACGCTGCACTGACATCTAAAACATTGCTATCATCCCTGCCTGAGCTCTCTTTGTGGACTACACAACACACCCCCTATTATGTTATAGAGAAGAGAATAGGAGGGGGTGCACTGTAATCCTATCATTGTACTCCCCTGTCCTAGGGTGACAGTGCTGCTGTGAGTGAGTGTGCTTTGACACCTAGGGGCAGGAAGTGTGTTAGTGGCAGGACCACCAGGAGAAAACGAATGCAGCCATCGCATCTATGGACTGGTATATAGAGATATGTCTGTGAAGGTTCTCATTCATTCCCGTCATGGTATATCTGTAAAAAAAAATGTCAAGGCGACTGGACTTGCTGTATTTTTCTTGAAGACGTTTCACTGGATATCCGACCAGCTTTGTCAATTCAGAATTCAGCAAGTCCATTTGCCTTGACTTTTTTTATTTTATTTTTACAGATATGGAGTGCTTGTGTCTCTTCTTTTTCAGTCTCTCAGATTAAAAATAACTTTGGAGCCCTGGCCTAAGTTAGCACTGTAATATCAAGCTAGAAAAAGCCAGATTTGCTTAGAGTTGGTCTGCAAAGGTGGCCACATAGATAGCAGATTGATTGCACAATCTTAAAAATCTTCATAATATTATCCAACAACTTTAAATGCAATGGCCTACCTAATCAGTCTATTTAATTTAAATCCACTCACATAGTCCCTCATACTGCACAACCTTAAATCTAGAATCTTAGGATCAGATTGTAGACTGGAACACACAGAGAATCACATACATACACTCACAAATATTGAACCAGATGTCTTTATTCAACCTCAGATATGATGTAACTATGTGCGATCATTTGTACATTAGATAAATGATACAACTATGTAGTGGAAGGGCCAATGTGATTAAATATGACTTAAATAGATTTTTAAATAGGCCTTCATGCTGGTAAAGCAGATTGTACAACTGTGTGTGTCTATAGAAAATATTTCTTCATAGACACCGCTTTATATTCACCCCAAACAAAAACACGTTTTATATGTTTCATTTCATTTTTCCATTATCACTTTCTTTCACGTTCACCTAATTTTCTTAGACCGAGTTTTATTAACACTCAAGTGATAGTTTGTGTTCCCCTTTCCCCTGCAATAATTCCACGTACTGCTTTCCTCCCCCAGGAAATGAATAAATAATCCTATTGTAGAATTCAGCAAAAAAAAAATAAAAATCTAAAGTGTACACTCTATCTATAGCCGAGGAGTCTATTCATTGCAGAATCGCTTCTAGCAGCTATTGAAACTCGCTGAAAGGAGTGTGGTTTTTTTATATATGACTGGGGAGGACACAAATGATTTGTACAGTGAAAAGGACCAAAATATGAAAACACACAAAAGAATCAAAAAGTGCAAAAATACCGTTGGAAAGATTCTCTTTGATGAATACATTTGTAGCCATGTGAGAACAATACATATTGTAGACTCGGAGGTAAATACAGAACACATTGGAATGTATCAAAGTAATTCTTTTTTATTTTATTTTTCACATTTATGTTATTAGCAGCAGTTCAAATATTTTTTAAGTGCAATTTATTTTATTATTTATTTCTTCCCTTCCTG